TAGAGATGGGACATTGTCGTAATACCCTGTTTTTATTGGTATGCGTAGTTTCGATAAGCTGGTCTTCTTCACATCTACACCATGGCGTAAGCTGTTAGTGTACTTTTCACCATCGGTCGTGGTGGGTCCAATGTTTATCTCGAAAACGGCGTCGTTGCTGTTAAAGGTGTACCAGCTTCTAGGATATTCAATTTGAACAAGCCCCACCTCCCATTCTCCTTTTATATTTATAGTGGTAGCCAGTCTTGTTCTATAATTAGAGATTTTATTATTAGGGTATACAGACTGCGAAGCGTTGCAGGGTAGTGTGACATAAAATCCACCCTCAGCCATGTCTGGTTTTTATACAACTGTATGCATCCTGTGTGTGTGGTTTGTATTTATGGCTTCTGTACATCAACTAATTCTTTCTGGTCGATCCATGACGCAAACTTCGCTGGCCATCCGAGCCACTGCACCAGCACTAATGTTTTGCGACCCTTCGTCTTCTTATCTAAAATTTTTTCAACTTTAAATGTCTTGTTTTTACTGACAAATATTTTTTGCAATTCTTCCGCATAAAAAACGCCGTCGATAACATCCCCGTCGTAATCACTCAATCTGTAAACAGGGGGTTCTCGTGGGATACACGCTGATATAGTAAAATACTCTTGTGTGTAGTTTTCCTCATACCCTTTTGCAAACGGTCCTCTGACTTTAGAAATTCGAACCACGTCACCAATCTTGTATTTAAATACGGGGTTAACACTATGAGGTCTGGTATCACCATATAGGTTATGCAGCACCACAGACTCGTTTTCTTTCCCCACATCAATCGGCCTCATCTTGATGCTTCTGTGATGGCTCGCATTATATCCTTGTGTAATGTCTTGAAGTATGTCGATGTAACGTTTGGAGTTTGTAGCAGTTAAATATCTCCACATTCTACCTTTTAAGGTTCTATTAAACCGCTCGACAACACATGCCTTTAATTCTGTGGCTGTTGCGAAATGGGCTATATTGTACTTTTTTGTTACGTTTTGAAAATGTTTGTTAAAAAACTCCTTTCCTTTATCTGTCTGTAATTTCTGTGGTACGCGTCCCTCTTTCAGTATGGATTCAAAAGCTTTAGAGACCTCTACACCACTCTTGTTTTTTAAAGCCCTTGTCCATGCATATTTACTAAAGAGGTCGATGCATGTCAGCAAAAAATGGTTGTTGTCATTTACCGGGGCATATGCAGACATATCGACTAGATCGGCCTGGAACTCCATGTCGATACCGTAGACAAAAACCCGATTCCTTTTGTATTTTAGTGGGGCCGTTCTGTGTAGTGTATATGCATCCTCGCCAGCGAGCCAGTCTGAAACCTCTTTATCGGTTAAACGAACACCCGTTTCTTTTAAAACAGCTTCTTTTAAGCGTTTTTTCCCCCCTAAAGAACCAGGGTTAGAAGGTGTGTAATAAGTCTTTTTCATTTCTTCTGACATGTTTCCACTTCACGCTCCACAAAAAGAATAACACAGATGGTTTAAGTAATTTGGGTTTTTATTTCTTAAACAGTAAAAGGAAACAAAGGTATCATACAGCATCAATGTAGTGTAAAAAATTTATACACATCACAATGTTTTTTTCAAGAATGTAATCAACCAGGGTTTCAATAATTTCACAAACATCAGCCTGATTGTTTCTTGTCAATATGTCTACACATAGATCAGTCACATATGTACACAAGCACAATATATCAGCTATTCTAATACAGCTGCCGCATTCAGTCATCAGGTCTAAAATCTTTCTGATAGTCACACAAATTGGTTCACCAGCATTAACGCATAAACGCATCATATCTGTCCATTCATTTGACACAGTTCTTACAACAGACATTTGTTTCATGAGGTTTGTAAAACGATTGGTATCTACAGCACATCTGTTTACAGTAACAGATACATTGGCACATTCATTAATAATCTTATACAACAAGCCTGTCATCTCACATCTAATACGTTGTTTAAGTAGACACTTTGCCAGACCTGTTGCAAAACACGTATTCCCCATGTCGGTGTTACAGTCACTCAACTTGGACAATACCTTTCCAGCTGTCCACAGCGTCATAGACAATTTGTTCGCTGCTGACGTCCACAACTTTCTCTCTGACTTCACGAAGCTTTTCCACAATGAAAACTTCGTCACGCAGTTCATGTAAAATAGCCTCCACTGAACCTTGAATCCTCTGGGGGTGAACCCTTAAACCACAACGGCTCAATGCTTGAGCAACGATGTGCTTAAGGTCCGGTTTCACCAGATTACGTGTCAGTTCCTCAAAGTAGGCGTCAAAGAAATAGGGACCCGGTTCAAACAGGCAGGAATGTCTAATCTGACTGGGGTGATCCACTTCACAACCCAAACAGATTTCTTTCAGCTTTTTGTTGATGACGTGTTCCAGAAGGACCACAACAGTCGCTTTTATGATTTTGAATCCGTCCGAGCGGATACAACTGTCTGTGTTGTCGATTCCAGCAAGGGCCGCAGCTCCAGCTATTGCACCAGTGTTGCCGTATGGTGTTGTAAGGAAGGTCATGTTGTGATATCCAAGATCCATGCAAAATTTATCCAACCAACTGTTGTCGCAAGTTTGTGGGTGGGGCTCCAGCGGCGTAGCATTGTCATCAGGCATCGCTGGGGGAGCCTCAGGGTTGTTGGTGTAGCAGTAGACTGTTGTAGATTCTTGAGACATGGTGAATGAATGTAGCAATTGTACCGATCTGCAGGCGTTTTTAATGGCTGTAATACGTGGGTGGGGTTAAGAGGCGGTCTTCAGCGTTGGTAACGCCCTGCTCAGGGTGAAACAATTTAATCTTTACAGAACTGTAACGGTCATACATGTCGCACCATCTAAACATCTTGTCAATGCATGTAAATACGTTGTCAAGCGTACGAACATCTTTCCACTGAAACAAAAATTTCATGTCGTAGCACAAGTGATGCTCAGATTCACGAACAGGCCACGCACGTTCGCAGAGCTTTGTCTTGTCATTGCAGCAGAAAATATAAACACAATCGTCTGGTAACTTTTTACTATGGTCCCCGACCACACAAAATCTTGTGTCAGGAATTGAGCCATCCCACTCGGCTACGTACAACGGATCATCACCACAGTCGTTCAAATCTCTCCAAACGTAGTTGAAAAACAGAAACCAGTCCTTCTTGTGGAAAATCACACATGGGGTCTGTGATGTAAAATCGTCTTCAACATCTCCTGTGTAGAGTTTCACAGTACGCATCACCTTGTCAAACACATACCTCACCACACGACCACCAGACAATGAGAAATCCTGTTTCACAAGAGCACTGTCTTCATGAAGAAATCTTGTCAAGCTAACATTTAGCTTTTTCCTTGGAGCAAAAGTTAGATCTTCTCTCATTTCAACAGGTCCTCTTGTCGGCGAAATACACATAACCTTTCTAGGGGTTTTAGGAGTTCTCGGAGTAGCCATTGTATCAGGAAAGTCGTAGAATGTCTTCTGTGTTCAACAGTGTAACCCCTAACCTTATTTAAAACTGCAACAAAAGACGTAGGTAGTGACGTAGTTGTGAAAAAGGCACACCTCATACCATAAAAACTACAATGGCAAGTTGCGAGGTGTGAGTTCATTAACCCAGTCGTAAAAACCAGTCAAAAATGTAACATCTGTTTGATCTGTTTGTTTGTCTTTTAAAAGTACCCGGACATCGGCACGGAGGATGTCACATGGCGTCGCGCAGCCTAGACATACCGGAGCCTGTCAGCGACCCATCATAAATCAGAGACAGGGGAACCTCAGAACCATAAATCAAAATCATAAAACACCTTTTTTGACACATGGTTTATGTTAATACTACTACCCTCCACCACAATTCACTTTCATGGAAATTGATCCTCCAGACATGCACCCAACTAAAACCCTGTGCAAAAAAGTCAAGTCACCTTTATTTATAAAGCGCTTTTTACAATTCAGATTGTATCAAAGCAGCTTCACAGTGATAACATGAAAATAATACAACAAAGTTTGTTTCTTGAAGAAAATTGCGTCATCGTCCACCTGAAGTAAGGCAAATCAATAATATGGTTGAATATTAAATGTCCCCAACTAAGCAAGCCAAAAGCCAAGGCAACAGTGGCAAGGAACCAAACTCCATCAGTGACAGTATGGAGAAAAAAACCGTGGGAGAACCCAGGCTCAGTCGGGGGCCAGTTCTCCTCTGGCCAAGTTTGTTGAGGATCAGTGCCGAAGCCCCCCCAAAAAACCCAAAACATCCCTGACCACGGCCTCCTGTTCCCACCTTCTACTCCACACCCAGTTGCGCAAAGGTGCGCTTTGCTCCTCCACCAACTGGGGAAAAATCTGATCAAATAGTAGCATTTTTTCCCATTTATTTCTATTTGTTTTGCCATTTCTTTTCCTTGACCCAAAAATTCTGACTGTTTTTTTCGTACTTTTTTGTTCTTGTCTATGGGAGAATGGAACTCGCAAATCTGTGGATCTTGAATTGAAAATTAGTGCAGCATTTACCGTAATTAAAATATATATATTTTAAATTATTGTTCATTTTTATTTTTTATGTGTTTATTAACCAGAATTGACAGTTCGATGTGGTTGTTCATTTGTCCTATCTTTTATGAAATACAAAAAAAACATTACTAAACTGAATCCTATGTCCTTTGTTTTTTATCTTGGATTTGAGTTGATGGGTGGTCTGCTATCTGGGTTATTTTTCTTAAAATACTGACAGGGTTGTCTGGCGCACAAATGAATTAACCTTATAAAAAAACGGAATCATTTGTTGGTTTTGAATGTATTTATCGGGCCGCCACCGCTGCAACTGTGATACAACTTTGATATGCATTGGAATATTCTGGGTCCAGTATGCTTGCACCTCGAAAGATGTTTGTTTTTAGGTGTTGCTTGCACCATCCCTTCTTTATGTACTTTCAGCATGGCCTCGTAAGCCTGATAAGATTCCCTGTGAATGAATTCCTTAAAGGGATAGTTCACTTTGAAATTAATTTTTGGTATGTTTTAGCTTACCTCAAGGGCATCCAAGATGTAGGTGTCTTTGTTTCCGCAGTAGTTTAAATTTTGATATTTTTAGGTCAAACCGTTCTTGTCTGTCAGTCATATAATGCAGGTCTATGGTCACCACCTCAAAGAGCATGCACAGAGAAGTCCAAATTAAACATGATTTAATGACTCGTAAATGTGAGTACACATTGATGGCCTAAGACACGAAACGAGCGGTTTGTGTGAGAAAACGAACAGTATTTATATTGTTTTTACCTCTTGTAAACACAGCCATGTCCAAGTGATCTGAGGGCGCCGGCGCTTCGGTCTGCGCAAGTGCTGGAAAGCGCCGGAAGTGATCTAAATATGGTTGTGAAAAAAATTCAACGTTGCCTGTTGATATATATCGAAATCGTCTTCCATTGCGATTTCCTGTATATCTAAATATGTTTAGATCTTCACAGTGAAAGGTAACACTTCCGAAATCTCTGTGTAAACAATGAGTGACGTACACGCGCGAGAGATCACTTCTGGCGCTTGCGCAGACAGAGGCGCCCACGCCCTCAGATCACTTGGACGTGGCTGTGGTTACAAGAGGTAAAAACGATATAAATACTGTGCGTTTTCTCACACAAACCGCTCGTTTCGTGTCTTAGGCCATCAATGTGTACTTACATTTACGAGTCATTAAATCATGTTTAATTTGGACTTCTCTGTGCATGCTCTTTGAGGTGGTGACCATAGACCTGCATTATATGACTGACAGACAAGAACGGTTTGACCTAAAAATATCAAAATTGAAACTACTGCGAAAACAAAGACACCTACATCTTGGATGCCCTTGAGGTAAGCTAAAACATGCCAAAAATTATTTTCAAAGTGAACTATCCCTTTAACATTAGTTCCAGCTGCCTTTCCAACCCATGTGAAGGGTAAGGGTTGGGCAGATGTCATCAATTGGATTTCGCCAGTTTGGAATATATTTTTTTGAAGAGCTGGTTTGAGTTCATTAGTCGATTTATGCCGCTTCAGGACAACATTAAACAGTCTTTGTAAACCTACATTTTCGTGGTTTTATGCCGCTTCAGATTTGGTTTCTGTGCATAAACCCCACGAAAATGTGAGTATACAAAGACTGTTTAATTCTGTCCTGAAGTGGCATGAATAGACTAATGAACTCAAACCAGCTCTTCAAAAGAATATTGCAAACTATACTTTGTGCTTCCTAGAAGTGCTTGGTTTCGGTGCTGCCTTTGCCACCAGAGAGCAGCATTAGATCAGGTTTCAAATTAGCACAAAACAGACTAAACAAAACCAAGTAACATTCAGAGCATTTCAAATAAAGAGAGAGAATGAGAATGAGGTGGATGTAGTGGAAGAACAGGCTGTGGATAGGAAGGACTTCTATATTCATTGTCAGGGCCGGCGCTCCGCACACGCACATCACGCACTGCGCGTAGGGCACCATGTGCTTGGGGGGGCACCAAAAACTCTGGGTCGTGAAAAATCATCACAATAGGCTACTAGTATAAATAACAAATAAAATATGTCTATAGCATGTTAATATACAAAAGCAATACAAAAGTAATATAGGCCTAGACCAAATTAGTCGAGAAAAAGGTGAATCTCCTGTGTCAGTCTCCCTCTGGTGCCCCCCTTCCCCACCTCCCAGTGGTCTGTTCGATTATGCCTCAATCAATGTAAAATTTGGCAGACACCGACCTCAGACATGGCCTCGAAAAGGCACCAAGAGTCGGGGGCGGAAAAAAGGAAAAAGAAGAGACAGCGGGATGATACTTGCGCGTCGCTTGCAGGTAGACAATGTTTTAAATAAAAATGTTAGTTTTGTAGCGCGGGCGCCCTTGCGTCGTGAATGCATGTCCAGGGGGGCGTCGCTAGTAGTGCAAATGATCCGAGGCTTTTTTAGCCCTGCATGTTGAATCTTTTATTTTAACGGGGGTCCGGGGGTTTCTCGAATTTTGAAACTTGGGCTGTTTAAGATGCAGTTAGTTTGTTTGAGAAGAAGAGGAAGACCGCGTAGATACGTTTTTTCGTTGTTGTTCTATGCGGATAATTTTCAAGAGGTTCATAGGCCAAGGCCCAAGGGCGACCTCTGTTGGTGAAACTGCAATTTGAAAAAAAGAAAAAAAAACACACAATCTCAGCGTTTGTATATTTTCATATTCACAGAGTTGTCAAATTATTAGGGCTGGGAAAAGATTAATCGCATCCAAAATAAAAGTTTGTGTCTACATGATATATGTGTGTGTACTGGGTATAATTATTTTGTATATATAAATACACACACATATGCATGAATATACTGTATATAATTATATATAATTTATATTATATATAAATTTAAATATTTTATATATAAATAACAAATATTTCTTAAATACATACATGCAAATGTGTATTTATATATATACAAAATAATTATGCACAGTACACACATATATCATTCTTGTTCCAAATCTGTGTTTTTAGTAATTGTGGTGGTTTTTGGTATTTATAATTTTAACCTTTATATTACTTATTTCTTTTCATATTTGGTGCCATTGTTAATGTAAAATGATTTATTTGCAGCAGTTGTTTTGGAAGTAAAGAGAACCTAACTAAGAAATTCTGAAAGCTTGTTATTCCTTGGGTGGGTGGGTGGGTGGTTGGGAGTGGGGGGCACCACCAAGCATTTGTGCTTAGGGCACCCAAATGGCTAGCGCCAGCCCTGTTCATTGTTCAATATTTTAATTTGAAGTTTTACTGCTATATTGCCTATAATTTATAACTTTATAGATCTAATAACATTCTCTTCATAAAATAAATGAACATGTCACATACTTCCACTAATAGTCAATTAAATTTGGTCACAATCATGTTTCCAACTAACTAGATCATCCAAAACACTAGGGAGCGGTTTCCCAGACAGGGATTAAATTAAATCAAAACCAGGCTAATAATGCTTAAATTAATCCAGACTTAAAAGCTTTTTTAAACAGTTATTAATTAGGGATTAATTACTCCAAGACTAGGGAGTAAACTTAGGCCTTGTCCACACGGACATGGGTATTTTTTATAACCGTGACTTTTTTTACGCGGTTAGGTCGTTCGTCCACACGGAAGCGCAGTATCAGGACACTGAAACCGAACATCTTTGAAAAATTTTGGGTGGGGATTTTCAGAAACGCCGGTTATAGTGTTGTCGGTTAGGGTTATATCGCCGCCTGCTGGTGTGGCATGCTCTTGACAGCACTTGATAGCGTGTTTTTGCGTTTTCATGTGGACGGGATTTTTTTTTTAAACGCAGGAGGAAAACGATTTACATGTGATCACCGTGATCCAATCAAGCTGATCGGATCATTAGCCAATCAGGACATGGCGTGTTTACATTTGTTCGCACTAGCCTCTGTATCTGAATAACCGATTGGATTTCTGTTTCCTGCATAATATTTAAATTAGGTCTGTGGCACGACACCAGATTAAGAGTCAAGATGATACAAATTAAACAATGTCCCAATTGCTTTCACTCACTTTACTTTCCTGCGCAATCTCCAGTCTTAGATCAAATTAAGTTTTTTGAACGAAGGAATACTTCCAGAGTTGATCATACAAAAATAACTGGGTTGATCATGTTAAACAAGTCATATCATCGATCATCTGGATTTTAAGGTTATAGCGTGCAATGACTATATTGACAGAAATGGGAGATTGATAATAATGCTGAAACAATAAAAACATTCAACATTTTAAACATTTAAAAAATCCGATTCCGATTATTCCTCTGCAAAGAGGAGCTCTTCATTAAGATCTCATGACTGACTGTGATTGTACAGGCGATCGCCTCGTTCAGATAATGTTGCACAATTAAAATGAAAAATGACACACATAGTTTCATGTAAGTCTAAATAAACTGTTTTAAATATTGACGTTTATTGTAAGGTTCAAATAAGTAAAATTTTTTGTCTAAACTGCGTCTGGCCGTTATTTTCTGACAGCCACGTGGGGAGACTGAGTGGGGATTTATATGACGTCCACCTGTGAATGCAGACACGATGGCTGGATTGCATTTACATTACACTGAGATCCAACCACAATGTGTCTTCGACTACCTCCGAACCTGGGCACACTGATTGGATAACATTCCCATCAGAAGTGTGTTTACAAGTGTCCATGGTTCGAAAGGACTCTTTGGGGGTCCCCTAAAATTGAATTATTAAATTATTAAAAATTCTGATGACTACCTTGCTACACTATATACTGTCAACATGACATCATGACTTTGCGTAAACATACACGCCACTTTCAAGTCAAGTGGCGTGTTATCTATACGCATTTTGAGCTATCCGCGTGTATGTCCACGCCGAAATCTTTTGCGTGTATGTCGACGCCATTAAATGTCCGAGTGATTCCGCGTGTATGTGTACGCCGTTAAATGTCCGAGCGAAACGAAGCAAAATCTATATCTACATCTGTGGAGTGATATTTCTTTTCCTAGGATGGTAGGAGAAGACTCATAAATGGTATTAACCCCAGTGACGGGTAGGTTTAGGGACGGGGTTGGGGTAGGTCATATATCTATATATACATAATACAGTAATATAACGCTAAGTCAAAGGCGTTGATAAACACGCTGAAAAGCGATTATGCGTGTTGATAGCACGCCAAAAATGGAAATACGAATTGGCGTGTCATACATACGCCATTTCATGAGATCAGTCTGATACTGTAGACAAAATTATATGGACCAATGTTGAAGGTGAGACAATGGTCTTGGAAGGTTTTTCGTAGTCTTTATTGTAGTGGTGTCTGGAGAAGTGGCTATAATCTAACAGGTAACCCTCTAACTCTTGAGCAACAAATTTACAGCACCTTATATAAATCTAATCCCTGACATGACAAAGTGAATAACAGGTCATTCTGTCCTTGAGCAAGGAAGTTAACTCTAAATCCACCAGGTGTACTCATTATGGCAGCACCATGCACCTTCAATGGGTTTGATCAAATATAAATGGCATTTCTCATCCCTTATGTTACATTAAATGGAATTTG